TCCCCCCCATCCTCCCAGCACCCGGCAAGGGGGCGGGGGGGAGTGTGCCAGACCCCCGTAACGCTGCTCTGCCCCATGCCAGGATTACCGCACCCCCGAGATCAGCCTGTTTGCGGAGGAGAATGGCGAAGGCACCCGGCTGAAGTTCACCGACTCGGCCGAGGACACCCGCACGCAGGGCCAGGCGCTCGCCGCTGCCTCCATCATTGTCCACTCAGGCTTGTGAGTGATGGGTGGGCACTGGGTGGGCTCCAGCATGGGCTGGAGCAGGGCGTGATGCCTTCCCCCTCTTCCCCAGGTGGCTGGTTTACTCCAAGCCTTTCTTTGACGACGATCCCTATGTTTTGGAGCCAGGCGGGTACCCCAATTTAAAGGCTTGGGGAGCAAAGGACCCATCCATCTGCTCCATGCACCCCATCAGGCTGGTGAGTGCTGGTTGCTGGAGCGTTACCAGTTACTGTGGTGCTGGGGCTGTATCCAGCCCTGGGCATGACAGGCAAGGTCATCTCCCAGTGGTTCCCAGTTCACAACAGCGAGAGCTGGGTGTGGAAATGTGCTGAGGGTGGCTCTGGGACGTGCTCCCGTGGGTTAGCGGTGAAGGAAAGCCATAAAGCAAAGCCCCAAAGAGCTTGTTCTTGAATGAAAATGACCCAAACACCAGCTCAGGCTTTAAAGGGGGAGATTGGATGCACCTGCACCATCCCCTCCTGCCACTGCGGCCTCACTGGGGCTCCTTCTCCTTCCAGGGCTGCCCCGTCGTGGAGAGACCTGGCGAGCCGCAGGTGAGCACTGGGCAGCGCCTGGGGAGGCCGTGGGGCCAGGACGGCCATGGGACCACCCTCACCCCGCTGTGTCCCCAGGTGCTGATCTATGAGGCTGCAGGGTTCCAGGGCCGCAGCTTCACCATCAGCCGAGACATCTACGACCTGAAGCGCCTGCCCGGACCAGCACTGTCCACCGTGGGCTCCCTGCATGTCCTGGGCGGCTGGTGAGTGGGGTGGGGTGGGCAAGCCTGGCTGCGCCAGGCTGGGAAGGTGACAACCACCCCCAGGAAGGGGCTCAGAGGAGCTGTGGGATGGCCACAGGCAGCTTGGGGGAGAGGGCGGCACTGGAGAGGCGTGGATGGTGTCCCCGTGTCCCGGCACGTGGAAATCCTCCACTCCAGAGACCTCACTGCTCACACCTGCCTGTGCCACAGCTGGGTCGGCTATGAGAAGGAGGGCTTCCGCGGCCACCAGTACCTGCTGGAAGAAGGGGAGTACCAGGACTGGAGGCAGTGGGGTGGCTACAGCAAGGAGCTGGTGTCCTTACGGCTGATACGGACGGTGAGGGCACGGGTGGCAGCATCACTTGGGGAGGGTCCCAGCGTGGGCAGAGAGAGCCAGCCCCCCCAGCCCCATTCTCATCCCTCAAAGGGAGCCTTCCCTGCCTGCGTCAAGCAGCTGGGCATGGTCTGAGTTCCCCCAAACTCATCACATGCACAGGTCTAGGTGCCCAGAGGTGCTCCCACCCTCCCTGGGCTCCCTGAGGCCAGGCTGGATCCCAGCTGCCTGTGTGCAGAGTGCCTGGCCCGCAGCCCCTTCCCCCCAAAAAACCGAGGGGCTCGGGGGGGG